CCCCCCCCCCCCCCCTCCTCTACCTAGGAGTACAGATCGCAAAAGGCTGCTCATGGAATGCACACATGTCCAAGGTAGCGGAGAAGGACAAAGCATGAGCAGGGAAGCTGCACCCAACAATAGCAAATCGGCACCTCGGTACACGCATCAAATTGACGGTTTTATAGAGCGTGATCGTACCGCCGCTCGAGTACGCTGGAGAAGTAAGTGTGGGAAGGAAATAAGACTGTAGTGAAAGGAGTCGGGGCGACGTAGATGAAAGCAGCGAAAATCATCATAGGATGCTCCAAGGGCACAAGTAATGCGGCCGTCAGGGTAGAATTGGGGATCCAATCCCTACGGTCGGGAAGAGACGCAAGGAAGCTGACATGGCAGTATCGCATGTGCGTGATGGGAGAGGGTCTACAGGGGTTCAAGGAGAAGACATCTGTTGCTTGTCCCGGAACACAAGGAAGACCGGCACAGGAAGAAGAAGGTGGTTCGTGGATTTCAGGAGGTTCCGTCGAAGGAGATGGCGGACGGATCTCGAGAGTACGCCTTCGAGCGCAAGCACCTGTACGGCGTGATGGGTATCCTCATCACCACCGGACTGACCAAGAAGCCGAGGATCATCGATCACTGGGGCGTCGAAGCCCACAACAACAACCCCCTGGTCCGGGCCTGCATGCCTCGAGACCTCTTCATTCTGTTCTACGGCCGCTTCTTCCACTTGGCACCTCCCACCGGCAAGCTCAAGAAGCATGATCCCCAGTACGACAGCAAACACCACATCAGGTATGCCCCATAGAAAAATACGCACGCCAACAGACAGCAATTGTAGGTACGGTGGATGGGTATGTTATACTTTCGTTTGGAGGATACTTTGTTTTATTTTCAGTTTTGGGGACCAATATGGGGTGATGTTTGCCCTTGGCGCTGTGTCGTCTCCTTCGCCCTCTCAGCAGAATGGCCTAAATATTGCTGAATAGAAATTGGTCGAATACAAACCGTTTGGGCCCACCGGAAGCTGCTTTGAAACAAAGTGTGTGTCGTAATCGGAACACGAAACATCCGTATCGGTGTTGGCCTTCAAATTCCTCAGGTTGCGTGAGTTATCATGAATCGCTGGTTGGGGGAGCAATACGCATGTATGTCCAGCGCCCCCCCCCCCGGCTCCGAGTAGTATTACTAACTGCAATCAGTACTTCCATCACGCCGGGTAGCTCCGGCGATGCCGCGGTTCGACGGTTCTGTGTTTGCATTACAAGTGTGCACCCCGTCAGGCACTGCAAATGATTTGTATCTGCTACTCTTGGCAGAGAGCTGGAGGACCTGTTGAACGAGTGCTGGAGCAAGCTTGTGGAACCGGGCGCATGGCTATCGTACGACGAGCAGATGGTGAAGAGCACGGCGAGAGCGATGTTTGCGTTGATGAGGTTCAACAAAACGAAGCCTATCAAGACCGGTGAGGTGGAAAACGGATGCCCGAGTAGACCCTTGCCCTTCCATTCCTTGAGTGGGACGTCGGCGGCATCATGGGTTCCGAGACGCGTGCACGCCAATAGTCGTCCCGCACACCTACGTCCCCTGCCCCCCCCCCCGTAGGTCCCCCTCTAACATTTTACAGTTCACTTTTGTTGGAGTCCAGCGCCACGACGCGGCGCGCGTGAGTTCGACATGGAGTCCTACTTGTCACGACCTTTAGCGCATACTTCCTTTTGGAATGTGCGTTCGCTTCATGCCACGTACCAGTTCGTGTGATGGTGGCTTGGGGGGTCGCCAAATATGATCTATCCCACTGTAGCTCGCGTTTAGGGTCCCTCGGCACAAATNGAATGCTTTTGTTGGTTCGATATCTCTCACCCCTTGCAAAGGGGAAAATGGCACCACGCCTACGGCATGCACGGCTGGATGTAAGTTGAGGAACCCTGTCCTTTCTTGCAAGTAGGCAAGCTGCACTTGACCCCCTTACAATCAAAATGAATGCCGGCATCGCTGGTATCAAGGCTTGACATCCTGTATCGCGTGTCCCTTTATTTTTGGTTGGCGCCCGCGCAGGAATAAAAGGCTGGGCTATTTGCTGCCCGTCCGGCTACTGCTTCGTCCAAAGCATCGACGGCGGGTTCAGTGGCGACATCAAGCTAAGACCGCACGCGACTTGCCCCCTTGGGCGGTCGGCACGCACGGTCCTTTACGTACTACTCGAGGCGTGCCCGACCTTCTCCGACAAGATCGTCGGCTCTGGTATTACCGTGGCGATGGACAACTTCTTCACGGGTGCTTCCCTTCTGCGATGCCTCGCTACGCTCGACATTTTCGCCGTAGGGACTCTACGCGGCAACCGCACCGGAGTGGACCTCGCCAAAAATCTCTGGGACAAGGAGGGCCTCAAGGCGACAGAGCGTGGTGATATGCTGACGGCCCGCTCCGACGAGCTCATCATCGTCAAGTGGATCGACTCCCAGGAGGTCTACCTGATGTCGACGAAGCATGTTTTTGAGGACGAGTGGGCACCTCTCGCCTACGAGTGAGTACAAACATAAAACCATTCCGCGGAACCTGTTTTGAGGAACCACGGTTCCGCGCTCACTCTTGGTGTGCCGTGTGTAGTTAATTGTCAGGATATTTTTTTAACAAGTTGGAGGTATGTTGCGAGGCTTGAAATGTGTATGGGGAAAGNGAAACCATTCCGCGGAACCTGTTTTGTTCTGCGCTCATTCTTGGTGTGCCGTGTGTAGTTAGTTGTCAGGATATTTTCAACATGTTGGAGGTATGTTGCGCGGCTTGAAATGGGTATGGGGAAAGATGATTCGGTCTAGGACAGGGCAGCTGTAACGGTAGAGAGGAACGCCTTCGATCGGGACCTTGACGTTTTTCGCCGCCTGCAGCAAGGGTCGATTCACGTGTATCACGCACTCGTGTCATATTTGAACGGTCATCCGCGCACGGCCGCCGATCTACTTTTTTCGCAGACATACACAGGAGGCGAGCTGCGAACAACAACGGCGAGAAGGTGTCGAGCCAGCAACCTCTTGCTCGCAAGGAGTATGTCAAGAACATGGGTGGCGTGGACGTCGCAGACCAGCGGCTAAGCGCCCACGCCCACACGCACAGGCCTATGACGTTCTTCTAGAGGCGAGTCTTCGATCAAAAGTTCGCTCAAGCCGTCAGAAACGCGTGGCTCCTGTTCTTCGAGTGGGCCGGGGTGCTACCCACGCAGTGTACCGCGGCGTTGGAGGCGGCGACACGAGACGGGGGGGTGGGTGATGCCGGGGAAGCCGGGGAAGCCGGAGAGGGAGGGGCGGCGNTCGCGAATCACCTCATGTCCTTGTGTAACGTGGGTGACGGTGGGAAGGGGGCAAGGCGCACGACGGCAGTGGAGTCGTACCGCGTGAAGGGCGCACGCGGTCAGCGTGTATGCCATGGGGGGGCTTGCAAAAAGACGGCCGGTCCGTACACTGGGACTAGAACTTGTGGGGTATGCTGTTGTGATACTTGCACGGGTGGGACGGGGAAGGACCGGGCGTTGATGCTGTGCAATACGTGCAGTAAAGTGCCAGAAGCGCATGTTGCCGCTATAAAGTGGGCCGCCGAGAGAACGTACAAGCCAATCAATTGGTTTGGATCGCCGCCCGAGTAATTCATTGTGATTGTGTGCGTCCCAGGCAAGTGCTTTGAAGTGCCAGAAAATGCGTCGCCGCCACCGTCAGAAGACTATCGGGGGGGGTCCATACAAGTTAGTCGACAAGCAGCCCTGTTGCAACGATCTTCTGTCTGTAGCTTGACTAGCTGATAGTTAAATCGGAGTTGTCATTGTCATTGTTTGCATGCTACGGTGTCAAGATGCCGNCGTCCCAGGCAAGTGCTTTGAAATGCCAGAAAATGCGTCGCCGCCACCGTCAGAAGACTATCGGGGGGGGTCCATACAAGTTAGTCGACAAGCAGCCTTGTTGCAACGATCTTCTGTCTGTAGCTTGACTAGCTGATAGTTAAATCGGAGTTGTCATTGTCATTGTTTGCATGCTACGGTGTCAAGATGCCGCCCGGTGCGGCGGTTGGTATGCACTCGAAACACGCAGAGAATAGCAGGAGGCAGGAGGGATTCCCACGGCTTCATGGGTACCTTGTTTAACCCCCTGCTCTTTTTTCGCTACTCGGGTGCCAGCGTTAGGGTTAGTCCGGCGTGCGTTAGCAATGTCAGGGTTCCGGGTTGGAATGGAGGCGTAGGTTCATGTGTCAACAGGCGGGCGAAGGCCCTGCGCCAATGGAAGAAATCTTGCGCATACAAAAAATGCGGAAAGGTGTTACGACTCATGTCTATCGTAAATTGAACAACAC